AAGGAGCTGCAAAGCTCCACAACAGAGATTGGAGTGTCTGTCCATAGGACCATGTTAAGCCATACACTCCCCAGAGCTGGGCTTTACGGAAGAGTGGCCAGAAAAAAGCCATTGCTTAAAGAAAAAAATAAGCAAACACGTTTGGTATTCGCCAAAACCATGTGGGAGACTCCCCAAACAAATGGAAGAAGGTACTCTGGTCAGATGAGACTAAAATTGAGCTTTTTGGCCATCTAGGAAAATGCTATGTCTGGCGCAAACCCAACACCTCTCATCACCCAGAGAACACAATCCCCACAGTGAAGCATGGTGGTGGCAGCATCATGCTGTGGGGATGTTTTTCATTGGCAGGGACTGGGAAACTGGTCAGAATTGAAGGAATGATGGATGGCGCTAAATACAAGGAAATTCTTGAGGGAAACCTGTTTCAGTCTTCCAGAGATTTGAGACTGGGTCTGATGTTCACCTTCCAGCAGGACAATGACCCTAAGCATACTGCTAAAGCAACACTCAAGTGGTTTAAGGGGAAACATTTAAATGTCTTGGAATGGCCTATTCAAAGCCCAGACCTCAATCCAATTGAGAATCTGTGGTATGACTCAAAGATTACCAGCGGAACCCATCCAACTTGAAGGAGCTGGAACAGTTTTGCCTTGAAGAATGGGCAAAAATCCCAGAGGCTAGATGTGCCAAGCTTATAGAGACATACCCCAAGAGACTTGCAGCTGTAATTGCTGCAAAAGGTGGCTCTACAAAGTATTGACTTTGGGGGGGGGGGGGGGGGGGGGGGGGGGGGGGGGGGGGTGAATAGTTATGCACGCTCAAGTGTTCTGTTTTTTTGTCTTATTTCTTGTTTGTTTCAAAATAAAAAATATTTTGCATCTTCAAAGTGGTAGGCATGTTGTGTAAATGAAATGATACAACCCCCCCAAAAAAATTCTGCAAGCCACTGTACATGTCAGCTACTACAGCGACTGAAATGACAGCAACACTTAACAAAGAGTTGCAGTTAGTTTCAGAATGGGTGGCAAGGAATAAGTTAGTCCTTAATATTTCAAAAACTAAAAGCATTGTATTTGGGACAAATCATTCACTGAACCCTAAACCTCAACTAAATCTTGTAATAAGGTCTGGAGTTGAAAGTTCGGATCACCCCTCTCCCTTATGTGTCATCAGTTTAAAAATCAACTCAATGCTTCCTCTTTTTTCATTCCCTCTGATTTGCACTCTGCCAAACTAGTGCCAGTTGGACTGTGCATGGCATCACACTTGCCCTCTGCAGCAGTAGGAGTTAACAGATAGCTCTGCGATTTCCCCACTACAGACCCTCTGGGCTCCAATTTCCACAACTGTTATCTTCTCAGCGTGATTCCACCTGTGACTTCTTGCGCCCCATTCTCACTCTGGAGATGTGGCGCTGTGAGGTGCAAGGAAACAGAAACGTCCATGAATCTAATACCAAGGGCTTCATCCCAAATGGAACCCTATTCCCTATATAGTGCACTACTTTTGACCAGAGGGCCCCTGGTATTACACTATTTACGCACGCCATGAATCTGAGACCAACCCTAGGGATCCTTTTATGGACCTGGTCAATCTGCTTATGCATTCAGCTTTGAGACGGCAGGGAGCCGGTAAGGCTGCAGGCTGCAGCACACACACACTACAGAAGCTACCCACCACCATGCTACACATTACATATTTATAGAGAGAAGGAGCTACCCACCACCCATAGGAAGGCCTGTGTATACTGTATTTGTCTTTTTAATGCAGTCATCTCAGTTTTCATTTGACGTGTCTGTAAGAGTTTGTAAAGACATTGGCAGCTTTGTGTTTTTGGTGGTCACAGAGAGGCAAGCAAACATATTGATTCTATCTTACTTTACTAACCAGCTCCGTGCTGCTCTCTGACAGTTCTCTACCCTCCCACCACCTCCGTGCTGCTCTCTGACAGTTCTTTACCCTCCCACCACCTCCGTGCTGCTCTCTGACAGTTCTATACCCTCCCTCCACCGCTGTGTTTTTGTCATTCCTTCTCTTCTCCACAGCTGTACATCCAGACCATCAATCTCTATATCTATATGAAACTCAGTGCCTCTGGTCCCACCACTAACTCTCTTCCTCTTCTATTCCTGTCTCTCAGTGTACAGTAATAGTCAAACGACTAACTCACCTCCGCTCTGTCCTGTCTCCCCCACAGCTGTACTTCCAGAACAACCCTGTCTTTGAACTCAGTTACTAGGGCCAAAACAAATTATCGAGGAGAGAGAGAGAGAGGAGAGAGAGGAAATGAGAGAGGAGAGAGAGGAGAGAGAGCAGGAGAGAGAGAGAGGAGCGAGAGCGGAGGCGGGAGAGCGACGCGAGAGCGAGCGGCACGCAGCGGGAGGCGAGGGAGCAGAGAAGAGAGCGAGACGAGCGTCGAGACGAGAGAGAGAGAGAGCGCGAGCACGAGAGGCGAGAGGACGAGGGCGGAGCGAGCCGCGAGAGAGGAGCGAGAGCGGGGAGAGCGCAGGAGAGCAGACGGCGAGGACGAAGAGGAGAGGACGAGATAGAGAGGACGAGGCGCGAAGCAGCAGAGCAGAGCAGGGAAGAAGCTACGGAACGCCAGCTATGTATCGCTCTCTCCCTGAGTCCCAATCTCTTCTTTGACGGCTGAGCACGAACTCCTCTGCTGCCTGACAAAGCTCAACTCGACTCAATCGCTCCCCTGACTCTCCTTCTCTATCTCTGTCGAGATAGCTCTTAGTCTCTGCGAGAGGCTAGAGCGAGAGAGAGCGCTAGATGCGAGACGGGTAGGCAGAGGAGGGGCGGTAAAGAGCGCGAGACGCGATCTCAAGAGCGCAGGGGAGGAGAGCGCGGGGCGAGCGGCGAGCAGCCGCCATGGCGAGTCGAGGCGCGGCGGTATGCGCGAGGTTCGCGGTCGCTCGTGCTCTTCGTTCTAGCTCTCCTCGCTCTCAATCAATTCAATTCAATTCAATAGACTTTATTGACATAGCAAGTAACATTACTTACATTGTCAAAGTATACATATAACAAAAATGGTGGGACCTACAGCAATAATAATAGTAGTAATGGAAATGGGATTACCATTAACAGCAACTACAACAACAATATTAATGAGAATAACAATACTTTAAAGCAATAGTAGTCGACCAATCTCAACATGACTGAGAAGACACACTACATGCTATGAAAGCCAAAACAAAACAGGAAATATTATTGACATTATATTACACTTTTCACTGGCTTTCCCTCAGGTTGTGGCAGGAGGACACATATTTGGCTGCCAAAATTGCACATTTTGGCTTTTCACCCAATAAATATTAGATTTTTTCTTCCTCTTTTATAGTTTCAAATTCTTTGTACTGAATGATAATTTTGGGAAAGAAAGATTCTCTTAGGTCTGAACATTTGTCACAGTGTAATAGGAAATGCAGCTCTGTCTCTACCTCTCCCCGGGGGCAGAGTGAGCACAGCCTGTCCTCTCTGGGCAGCCAGGTTTGCCTGTGACGACCGGTCTCTATAGCCAGACTGTGCTCACTGAGTCTGTACCTAGTCAGTGTTTTTCTCAGTTTTCTATCAGTCACAGTGGTCAGATAGTCTGCCACCATGTACTGTCTGTTTAGAGCCAAATAGCATTGAAGTTTACTTAGATCTTTTGTGGTGTCTTTCCAATAGGTGATATATTTTTCTTTTTGCTTTGTGATGATTTGGTTGGGCCAGATTTTCTGAGTGCTGTCCTGAGGCTCTATGAGGTTGGTTTTGGTTAGTGAACTGAGCCTCAGAACCAGCTGGCTGAGGAGACTCTTCTCTTGTTTCATCTCTTGACATAGTAGAGCTGTGTGATGGAATGTTTTGGGGTCACTTGTTTTTAGATGGTTGTAAAATTTGATGGCTCTTTTTTCTATTCGAGTAAGGAGGGGGTATTGGCCCAATTCTGCTCTACATACGTTATTTGGAGTATTTCTTTGCACTTGCAATACAGTCTTGCAAAACTCTGCATGCAGTATTTCGATTGGATGTTTGTCCCATTTGGTAAATTCAGTAGTAGAGAGCGGACCCCATACTTCGCTGCCATATAGAGCAATTGGTTCTATAACCGATTGGACATTTTTTAGCCAGATTCTAATTGGAATTTCGATTTCAATATTCCTTTTAATGGCATAGAATGCTCTTCTTGCTTTGTCTCTCAGCTCATTCACAGCCATGTGAAAGCTACCTGTGTTGCTGATATTTAGTCCTAGATATGTGTAATTTTTGGTGTGTTCTAATAGAACTGTGTCCAAATAGAATTTATATTTGTCATCCTGATTTCCGGACCTTTTTTGGAATATCATTATATTCGTTTTTTTTAGATTAACGGTCAGGGCCCAGGTCTGACAGAATCTGTGCAGATGATCTAGATGCTGCTGTAACCCCTCCTTAGTGGGAGACAGTAGCACCAGGTCATCTGCGTACAGCAGACACTTGATTTCAGTGTTGTGTAGGGTGAGACCAGGTGCTGCCGATTCTTCTAATGTTTTTGCCAATTCGTTAATGTAGATGTTAAATAGTGTTGGACTTATTGGGCAGCCCTGTTTCACTCCACGTCCCTGAGAGAAGAAGTCTGTTTGCTTGTTGCCAATTTTAATCGCACATTTGTTTTTAGGTGACATGATTAATAACATCATATGTTAACGAACAGAGAGGAGGGGCCGCGCAGGAAAAAGCGAGAGCGAGAGAGAGGAGGAGAGAGAGAAAAACAGAGAGGCGAGAGCGCAGAGAGAGAGAGAGAGAGGAGAAAACAAGAGTAGAGAGAGAGAGAGAGACAAAAAAAAGCGAGCGAGCAGAGCCCACCCCGTATCTTCTTTCGATCGCGCGTATCTCTCTATCTCTCTCTCGCTCTCGCCTGCTCTCTATCTCTCTGCTCTCCTTCCACTCTCCCCTCCACTCTCCCAGTTGTACGTCCAGACCACACCTCTGTATATCTATGAACATCAGTGCTTCGGTGGGCCTTGGGGATGCTCTACATGCCTAAAGTCTACGTCATCATCTTCCACCCGGAGCTTAATGTCCAGAAGAGGAAGAGGAGCTTCAAAGCGGTGGTGACGGCCGCGTCCCTGACAACACGCCTCTCACACAAGACCTGTGACAGGCCCAACGGAGAGGCCAAGACGGAACTGTGTGAAAACAATGATCCAAACAGTAAGTATCACCAAACCAGGGCCCGTATTCACAAAGTGTCTCAGAGTAGCAGTGCTGATCTAGGAGAAAGGGGGCTGATCTAGGAGTAGGAGTGCCATTCTAGGAGTAGGGTACTGATCTAGGAGTAGGGGTGCTGGTCTAGGAGTAGGGTGCTGGTCTAGGAGTAGGGGTGCTGATCTAGGAGTAGGGGTGCTGATCTAGGAGTAGGGTGCTGATCTAGGAGTAGGGTGTTGATCTAGGAGTAGGGTGCTGATCTAGGAGTAGGGGTGCTGATCTAGGAGTAGGGTGCTGATCTAGGAGTAGGGTGCTGATCTAGGAGTAGAGTGCTGATCTAGGAGTAGGAGTGCTGACCTAATAGGAGTGCTGATCATCATGATTTAACAGGCAAAACCGATCAGAGTAGTAGTGCTGATCTAGGAGAAAGGGGGCTGATCTAGGAGAAGGAGTGCTGATCTAGGAGTAGGGTGCTGATCTAGGAGTAGGGGTGCTGGTCTAGGAGTAGGGGTGCTGATCTAGGAGTAGGGGTGCTGATCTAGGAGTAGGGTGCTGATCTAGGAGTAGGGTGCTGATCTAGGAGTAGGGTGCTGATCTAGGAGTAGGGTGCTGATCTAGGAGTAGGGGTGCTGATCTAGGAGTAGGGTGCTGATCTAGGAGTAGGGTGCTGATCTAGGAGTAGGGGTGCTGATCTAGGAGTAGGGGTGCTGATCTAGGAGTAGGGTGCTGATCTAGGAGTAGGGTGCTGATCTAGGAGTAGGGTGCTGATCTAGGAGTAGGGTACTGATCTAGGAGTAGGGTGCTGGTCTAGGAGTAGGGTGCTGATCTAGGAGTAGGGTGCTGGTCTAGGAGTAGGGTACTGATCTAGGAGTAGGGGTGCTGATCTAGGAGTAGGGTACTGATCTAGGAGTAGGGGTGCTGGTCTAGGAGTAGGGTACTGATCTAGGAGTAGGGTACTGATCTAGGAGTAGGGTGCTGATCTAGGAGTAGGAGTGCTGATCTAGGAGTAGGAGTGCTGACCTAATAGGAGTGCTGATTGTCACGATTTAACAGGCAAAACCGATCCTAGTGCAGCACTCCTTTTCTGAGACGTTTTGTGAATATGGTCCCAGAGCACCTTTTGGCCAGCATTTTGTTTTTATTTAAACCGCTGCTGTCTAAATGAATATGCTCTGCTGCTGACAGAGTTTAATCTGGATTACCCTTATCTGGTCTTGGAGAATCGGTAGTCACCATCTCTGCTTCAAAAAATTCAACAGAGAGAGAGCACCTCAAGAGGAGGTACAAATGAACTCCTCACACTCACCCACTCTGGGAGTTATTACTGGGACTCTGCTGATTGTTTAAACAAATGTGCAGCACACTATATATTTGTGTCCCAAATGGCACCCTATTCCCTACATAGTGCACTACTTTAGACCAGTTCCTGCAACAACAAAAAAAAGTAGTGCACTATGTAGGGAATATGGTTTGTCTTTGGGATATACACTATGTTCGGTTGTTTGCTTATTTTATTTGTTTAACACGTCTTCTGATTTCAATGGAACACAAGGTGACAATCTGCTATGAGCAGTTACACTCATAAACACATTATTAGTTCATTCCCCATCTGTTTACAATGGAAATGTTTTTTTCAGTTTTTTTTTTATATACAAGTATCACTTGCAGATATTATGATCCCTGATCCCTGGTCAAAAGTAGTGTGCACTATATAGGGAATAGGATGCCATTTGAGATACAATTCTATAAGAATGGATGTGTCCTCCCACAAGCTTTACTCTGGCCACGTTTACACCTGGTTCTAACATGATGGAACAGAGGCCCTGTTTACACCTGGTTCTAACATGATGGAACAGAGGCCCTGTTTACACCTGGTTCTAACATGATGGAACAGAGGCCCTGTTTACACCTGGTTCTAACATGATGGAACAGAGGCCCTGTTTACACCTGGTTCTAACATGATGGAACAGAGGCCCTGTTTACACCTGGTTCTAACATGATGGAACAGAGGCCCTGTTTACACCTGGTTCTAACATGATGGAAACAGAGGCCCTGTTTACACCTGGTTCTAACATGATGGAACAGAGGCCCTGTTTACACCTGGTTCTAACATGATGGAACAGAGGCCCTGTTTACACTGGTTCTACATGAGGACAGAGGCCTTTTACACTGGTCTAACATGATGGAACAGAGGCCCTGTTTACACCTGGTTCTAACATGCGTCTTTCGTCCTGATCTTGTCCACATTCTGATTGAATGTCCACATTTGTCGACAGGTGTAGACGATCAAAACGACGCGCTGTGATCCGATTGTGATTAGATCTTCCTGACCACCTCCGGAGGTATTCGAATATGCGTCTTGTACGGATAGCCTTGAAGTGTGTAAACGAATCCTGACAACGAAAGGGTATGGAGGCTCTTTCCCCCTTGCTAGCTAGCCAACTACACGGCTAACTGGAAAGACCACAAACTAGTTGCGTTTCGTTTTACCTGTTTTTCTATTGACATTTATTTGTATATATCTATAGAAATGAGTCTGATTCCTGATTTCGACTGGCTGAGAAAAGCTGCCTGTCTGTCTCGTCCGACTCCCGACGTGTTCGTTATTATTGGTCACAGAATTTCAATATTGCAACAATGTTGCAAATGTCAGAGATAATGCCTAGATTATTTTTACATTTGAGATCAAGTTTATAAATTGCGTGGCTGGGCAGTGGATATGTAAGAGTAGTAGTAGTATTAGTGACGTAAACAATGGCACTTTTTATGAACGTACTGGCCATATGTATGTTGTTTATTATAAAACGGGTTGTTTGGATCCTGGATGCTGATTGGACGAGCAGCGTTCCAAGCCGTGCTGTATTGGCCATCACAGACACACCTTTGGCTGCTAACGGGTGATCACTGCGCCTCCATAAGAATATCATGTTCATGTTGCTGTGCGAATCGTCTCTTGTATTTATTTCAACTCGCACATTATTTTCCCTTGCTTCTAGCCTAGCATTTAGTTTGGTACAGTGTGGATTAATATGTGCCTCGCTGTCTGCCTGTCTGACCTCGGAAACAATGTTTCACTTTTGAATTTCGATCTCTGTAGTACCATAGATTGAACGGTGCCCAGACGAGACGACACAACTTGTTCTGAGCCAGTCAAAATAATTATCATGGACACATCCAAGTAAATGCCAATAGGAAAAAGGCTCTAACAAACAAAAATGCAGCTAGTGTCCTGTCATTCCAGGTTCAATATTTGACCTGACTGAGTTAGCTGAAGTTGGCTAGCTAGCTAGCAAGTGACAAGAACGTGACCAGCCTGCATAGCAACCATTTTGTTTAGAACGGACCACCAGTCATTTTGCATAGCAACTATGCAAAAATTATTAACGGCTGGGTGGCGTCTGTGACAACAGGACCAGAATAACTAACAACCAGATTTTTGTCCAGACTATATCTTTTGGTGGAAGCATGAAATTGTATTAATTGACTTATCAAAATAATGTTTCAATGAAAATATGTAATTCTTTGTTATTTTAATGTGTTGATAAAAGTGTTATAAAAGCAATAAGTCACAGGTAAGAGGCAGTGATGGATACAGTCACAGGTAAGAGGCAGTGATGGATACAGTCACAGGTAAGAGGCAGTGATATATAATGAATACAGTCACAGGTAAGAGGCAGTGATGAATCATGAATACAGTCACAGGTAAGAGGCAGTGATGTATCATGAATACAGTCACAGGTAAGAGGCAGTGATGAATCATGAATACAGTCACAGGTAAGATGCAGTGATGTATCATGAATACAGTCACAGGTAAGAGGCAGTGCTGTATCATTGATGACAGGTTTACAGATTAGAGCATTGATGACATTATGTTTATAGATTAGTGCATTGATGACATAGGTTTACAGATTAGTGCATTGATGACATTATGTTTACAGATTAGAGCATTGATGACATTATGTTTACAGATTAGTGCATTGATGACATTATGTTTACAGATTAGTGCATTGATGACATAGGTTTACAGATTAGTGCATTGATGACATAGGTTTACAGATTAGTGCATTGATGACATAGGTTTACAGATTAGAGCATTGATGACATTATGTTTACAGATTAGTGCATTGATGACATAGGTTTACAGATTAGTGCATTGATGACATTATGTTTACAGATTAGTGCATTGATGACATAGGTTTACAGATGAGTGCATTGATGACATAGGTTTACAGATTAGAGCATTGATGACATTATGTTTACAGATTAGAGCATTGATGACATTATGTTTACAGATTAGTGCATTGATGACATAGGTTTACAGATTAGAGCATTGATGACTTTATGTTTACAGATTAGAGCATTGATGACATAGGTTTACAGATTAGAGCATTGATGACCTTATGTTTACAGATTAGAGCATTGATGACATAGGTTTACAGATTAGAGCATTGATGACCTTATGTTTACAGATTAGAGCATTGATGACATAGGTTTACAGATTAGAACATTGATGACAATGACAGGGAAGGTAAGGTATGGTTACCCATAGAGAGCAAATAAGGAAATGTATTCAACCAAGCATGTTGGACACATGGCTTTAGGGCCCTCGTCAATCACCCTGGTAACCATGTTTATAGGATGTCCAAGACAGTTGGAAGCCACCTTTTAATCAATATGCTGTTTATTTTCCTTCTGTTCCACCTACAGTGCTTTCACAAAGTATTCACATCCCTTGTCTTTTTACACATTTTGTTGTGTTACAGCCTGAATTTAAAATGGATACAATTTTGATTTTTTTGGGGTCACTGGCCTACACACAATACCCCATAATGTCAAAGTGGAATGATTATTCTCTGAACCTTTACAAATTAATTAAAAATGAAAGCTGAAATATGTTGAGTCAATAAGTAACCCCTTTGTTATGGCAAGCCTAAATTAGTTCAGGATAAAAAATGCGCTTAACAAGTCACATAATAAGTTACATGGACTCACTCTGTGTGCAATAATAGTATTTAACATGATTTTTGAATGACTACCTAATTTCTGTACCCCACACATAACATTATCTGTAAGGTTCCTCGGTCGAGAA